CTGCTTTGCCTGATTTTGGGTAAAAGTTGCTCTTTTTTTATAAAAAATTCAATATGTATATACATATTTATAATATTTACATACAAGCCATGCCCAGCCAGTCACATGACCACCAAGCCACACCCACAAATCAGGCCACACCCACAGAACTGGGTTCATGGTCCCTGGGATCTAAAATTATGAGTTTGGTGGTCCCTGAGGTCCAAAAGGTTGGTGACCCCTGGAATAGAGTTTTGAGAATACACACAAAAAATAATAATCAATAAAACAAACAATTAGAGCATAGAACAAATCAGTCCCAAATTCTTGTTTGAGGTACAAATGGTGAGGCTTAAACTATAATTCTCTGGGCACATTGTGTGAAGGCTCAGCTCCCTTGAAAAGTCAATAATTCTGGAAAAGTGGAAAGAAAAAAGAACAAAAAGAGGCAGACAGACAACAAGGTGTTGGACTTGATTACAACAGCAGAATGCACCATTGTAAAGTCTAACAGGCTAGGTTGAAGACATCATCCTGGAGAAAATCTTACCTACATGGTTGCTAACACTTGAGGCTATACTGGTAGCACTTAATACTGCAATTTGTGAATATGAACATTGAGTTCTGAGCATGCTACCAATTTAAGTGGGAGATGTTTCATTTGATTTTTGTTTGATAAACGTAAAATATCCACATAATTTAAATGTCCAAAACATAGGATATTTAGTTCCTTCTGGGCTGAATGGAACAAGGAGTTGAATATGTTTGTTTTTAAACTACAGGTGAGTCACCACCAGAGAAATGCAAAAAGAAAAGGAACAAGAAAAAACACTCTCAACAGATAACAGCAACAGTGGCCACCTCTGCTATATCACTTGTCAATCCTGAACTTGGTACATCTTTGGGCAAGAATAAAAATGTGTCCAACTTCTTTGACAATCTGAAAGATGAACTAGCAAGTGTTAATCAGAAAAAATGTGTCTCGGGTTCCAGTTCCCCTCATCCACTCCCATTCAAAAGTGCCCAAGAAGAAAAGGCAACACAGGTTGAAGTTGTGACATTCCTGGGTCGACACACAAAAAAGAAAGCTAAACTTGAAATTCCTGGAAGTGATGACTTAAAGGTAAGGCGTTCATATTTAATTCCCTCATGTTTGGAAGCAGAACATTCATTTTATAAAAGGGATTTCTCAAAAATAATTGCAAATCACCATGAAAACATTACTGATCTGCCTGCCTACATTATCACCATATGACCAAAGAGAAAGAAAGGACTTTTCATTTTGTGAATTTATTCTGTTCGTTTAAGAATAATTTAGTTGGCTAAGTAAATTAATATTTGCAAGCCTTTTTTACTGTATGGGAATTCTTCATAGCACAATGTTCATAAATACGTATATGCAGTTAAAATTATATCACATTTAATTGCAAGATAGCATTTCGCCGCAACACACAGCCTGTTTGCTCTTCTCTTTACAAGATGAGTAATAATATCAGGATAGATAAAGGTAAAAGTTTCCCCTGTCCAGTCGTGTCCGACTCTAGAGGGTGGTATTCATCTCCATTTCTTAGCTGAAGGAGCCAGCATTGTCCAAAAACATTTCTGTGGTCATGTGGCTAGCGTGACTGTATGCATTGTTACCTTCCTGTCAAAGTGGTACCTATTTATCTAGTTGCATTTGCATGCTTTCGCATTGCTAGGTAGGTAGGAGCTGGGACAAGTAAACGGAGCTCACCCCATTGTGTGACATTTGGGTATTGGACCCAGGCTTCTTCTAACCACTGAGCCATTGTGCCCACCCCCCCGCCCCGATATCAGGATACTTCTGATTAATTCATAGCTTTTCATTTTCTTTGAGCTTTAGATGCTGTACCAGCTCCAAAACAGGTCCATATATTAATTCAACTTTGAATTGACCTACCCAGCCTGGTCTGTAGAAACAACCATAACCACCCAGACACTAATAAAATATTTATGTATATTTTTGCTACCGTCTCTTGACTAATTGAATCTTTGCAGCCTAGATCTGGTAACCCTAAATTATTTTCTTTGAAACTAGTCATAATTTTCTGTATTGGACAAAGTAGGAGACTATGATTAGGTTGTGCTTTCAAATAAGATGCCTAAGTGGACAGAGCCATACTCAAATTTGAACTTCTAAAGGCAAGGCAAAATTTGTTCAAATCAGATCAAACCAGACCACTCACTTACTGGACTTCTGCAGAAAATAGCAGTTGTGGAAAATTGAGATAAAATTTAATTAGAATTCTGTGATATTCTTCTTTTATATTTTATGACCTTTGTCCTGACTTTTGTGGTCCAATGCCCAATCTAATCTATTGACAGAATTTTTTTTTGTTTCAACAATCTTGCAAATCTTGTTGAGATGATGGGAATTATAATGTGGTACTATTTCATTTCTCAATGTTTCTAGACTATTCTTTCCCAGTATCTATTTTAAATCTAAAACTACCACAGGGATCCTCCAATTACAAAACTGGTTTGGAACTGACTCACAAACAGGTAGTAGTAGAATTCCACAGTTGCTGTTATTGCCAAATACCAGTATTTCAAAAGAATTAAGCAAGAGCCAAATGACTTTAATTGCCAGAGTTTTATTGTCAGCTTTTAAGGTTCAGACAAGTTTTTAAAATTAGTTTTATTAAGAATTTTACATTGAATAAAAAACTATTCAGACGAAGAAAAGAAAGTGCAAGATAGGAAAAAGAAAGAAAACCTGAATTTTAGAAATATACTGTATGAATGAATTCTGACCTTCTTTTTGACAGATAATTACAATTTTATTATTGTGTTTTATACTCAAGTGTTTAAAGCTTTGGAGTACTGGTTTATATTATAATCCAAGGGGGATTATAAAAAGAATAGAATTCAGAGGGAATCATAATTAAAATTCTACAGACAAATATAATTCACCACCACGAAGGTTGTTAAAGCTTGTTTAATCTATGCCAATTTACTGACTATAGAATCGCATGTTTAATAATTGGCAAGTGTTGACAATCATTAGAGGCTGACGCAAGATGAAAAAATAGTCCTGTCTTAAGACCGTAGAAGTAAGTAGGTGTGTATAATGAATATGACCTGCTACCTATAGTGATGCAAAACTGATGAAGGTAATTACTCTTGTTTAAAAATAATTAAATACATTTCGGTTGCTAGGAAGGAACACCAATTAGGAATACCGTATATACTCGAGT